ACTTATCGCAGAAATGTAAATTTATGCAAACAAATTGCACCATAGTAGATAAGCACTCACCGATCATGTTGCGACCATCCCGGTCTCCCTCGTCTTCGTCAGCACCCTCTTATCTGCAAATGCCACTGTTAAGGTGAAATTGAGGAAAATTCGCGACGTCATTCAATTGATAGCTCCGGATGTCTTGTGGGCGTGCATATCGTCAGCGTCGGAGCTGGTTTGACGACAACGCCAAAGAGATACGCGGACTGCACCCCGGAGGGGGCGACATACACGCGACTTACACCAACAAGAGAACCAACGCCAACAAAACCGCACAATAACGATGCCGAAACCTAGACAGCAGAGGCTGAGGGAGATGCAAAACGACCAGCCGTATTGCAGAGTAGGGAAGATACAGTTGTGTACCAACTGCGGTGAGATGGAAAAACATTCGAGACCATTGTGGCAGTCTGCGCATCCTTGCTCTCCATCGCTTTGTCTAGCTGCCCTTATGTCCGCTCCACGCTCCTTGTCGATTCGCTACTGGGACCGCGCAAGTTTTGGCGCTATCCTAGCGAGTGCTCGAAGCTAATCAACGCTGCCCCCTCTCTGATTGGCTGGCGGACACTGAGACAGAGCGAAAGGCCCACGCACGCGCTGGGGGCTAATAGCCTCAACGACGGAAACAGACAACAGAACTTGCCTGGAGAGACAGCTTGCGATAACTGCTTGCAGAGCCTCTTGTAGCAACCGCTCCAGTCTCCCTTTTCTTCTGCGCCATTTTGTCGAACAATGGCAGCGACAGCTGTTGACACACGGCCAGTTAAGTTGTCCAACCCAATCCGTCTTCCCTGACTTCAGATATGGGAACCTTTTGTGTTATTGAAACTACCATTTCCACACCATCAAGGCCGTCTACAATCACGAAGCTCAGGGGGCAGCGTCATTACTTAACAAGGACGGCGCAATCTGACTAACGGAAGGGTCACAGGTATTTCGTCGCTCGGCTGCACACTTTCTGGGAGCCCTCAGCCACTCGTCTACAAGTTGCGATGAAACCATCAAGGAGAACCGACAACTCAATCATAACTACAGAGGCATTCCCCTTCGAAAATGTCGCTGGCAAAATCTTCATCCGTATCATGATCAAACGCCTAACCAAGCTGCCGAGTTAAGAAATACCGCAAAAATTCCGTGCATTCCGGAAAAACAGCAGACCCACCCAGTCCGTCGTCTTCAAGAAGTGTCAGCATATGTGGATCGGTCTCTACATTACTTTAATGGGTTCAACGAAGACGTTCGGCAAGGTGAATTGCGATAAACTCTGAAAAATCGTGCCGAACTTGAGATGTCCAGACCGATGCACGCAAATGACGGAGCGTGTCATGAAAAATTACGCAGTCGCTGAGGTATTAACGGTGGCAAATGCAGCGAAGTGAGGCTGCGTACTCGTTCCCATCCTACTCACCCTCGCGTCCTTCGTCATATTGATGGAGTCCTACTTTGAGGAGGGACTAGAGATAAAGATCGACTATCAAACAAATGAAAAACAGTTCAACACGAATGCACCTTCGAGAGTATCTGTGGCCTGTGTCCAAGGCATCTTGTTGAGGGAGGACTGGGCGCTAAACATCGCAGCAGAAGTCGGCATGCACTTCTTCGCCTCAGGGTGTTTCAGCTTCCGACTGAGCATCAGTACAATTCGCCTCATAGCAGTGATGAAATTCGTGTACCCGGAAACTGCTGTTTCAAGACACATCGGATCGCTGACGAACGCGAGAGTGCGATCTCCGACGCCAGCCCAGCCTTCGGCAGGTTATTGCACTGTCCTGGCATCCTCTGCAACACAAAACTGAGGATGTTCAGAACAGCTGCCCCGACAGCATTCTTGCATGTGGTGAAGACGTGTACAGTATGCGGAGGAAAAAGCAAGGGGACTTAACCATTTCCGCCTCAGCGGTTTCCGAGGAACACTGAAGGTGAAGCAGCATGGAACACTGCCAGACACAGAGAGGCCACGCCACGAAGATGGATGATGAACATCTGTCTATAGCGGCGTCACAACGGGTGGTCGTTGATAGGGTGGGTAGAAACGCTACCACAAGGATACCCAGGAGTCCGCTCTCAAACATGTGCAGATCAGTCAGTATACCTCTTGGAAATACTTCGCTTAACATCGGTAGGCCTGATGCATTGCCGCAAAAACTTGAGCAGGTACCTTTGAAACCAACTGAATAGTCGTTATAGAAGCAAAAAGGAAATTTGTACAACTCAAATATCGAGGGATAACTGAAAACTCGTGCAAATCCTGCATTTGTGTTCGAACTATTAACGGACATTCAGGACATGAGTCGGCCTCACTGACCATCTGTGTACGCAGCAGAGTGTCAACACGAACAACCGCACTCCCATATCACAGAGCAAGCCAAAACCACCATTATCAGTGAATGCACTCCTTTCATCCTGCCCAACCTCTCCCCTTGCGCCAGGAATGTGGACTCCGTTTGGATATCTCCCCACTGAGATCGCACCTTCGAGTCATACACCATCCCGGGAGCCCGGGTGGATTCCATTGTACTGAGACCGGTGAACAAGTGCCAGCAGCCCTAATGTAAATCCATCGCCCCCGTTTCAATTACCCGAACTGCCCCGAGACATTCGGCCATCGCATGCGCCTATTCGGGCATATACGATTTCCCGAAAATCTCCAGTAAATCGGCAACTCCAGTCTCATTTTCACGCATCGTCCTGACAGCTCGGCCGCCGATTCTGACAATGGCAGCTGGTGGGGCTGACTCGCACGTGAATTAGTTTATGGTGACGGTAGACTTGCGCAGCATCTAACATACCCGCTCTTCCTCTCCCACCTGAGCGCGGTGTAAAGGAGAAGTCGAAAAGACCGAGTGCGGGATCGGCCGAAGATGGTTGACGCTGCGTGAACCCAAACCTAAACGTGCCGGCATACCACTTGGTCGGCGCACAAAACATTGGGATTACACACATAGAAAAAGATGAGGGGCGGCTCAGATCTCAAATAGGTGAGAGTGCCATAAAGGCCACATTAAAAAGGGCCAATGCAGTCTGAATATTCGTTCGAGAGGGGGAACCGAGTTATCTCGTCAGTTTGCCGCCTTCCAAGCCACTGCTTTTGGCGCGCCGCGATAAATTAAAGCACTTGTAGCGAGCGCTAAAGACAGAACCGTCAATCCCAGACTATGAAAATCAGGACAAGACCAGAGTTATGGAATAATTAATAAACAAAAGTCAAACGACCTGACAATCCCACTCATGCCAAGCGCGTCGCGTAGAGTTGCGTTCCTTCCATTCAGTTAAACAACCAGTGAGTTCAAGAATGAGGAACAGGTAGGGAAAGGCAAGATAGTCTGGTGCCTCGGCACATTACCCCCTCCGAGACCGGAGGGCGGCGAAAACGACGCCGAAGGATGTGTACAGGTCTAAAAGAAATGCGTGACCAACCGATCAGGAAAGTGTACATGACGACCACTGCGAATGATATATACAGGGTCCGTAGAAGAGTGAATAAATCTGGTGGCGGAAGTGTTGGAGTTGGTGGTGGCAGTCGGAGATGGCGGACAGGAGGGCAGAGGGAAAATACGGGGCGGTGGAATAGAGGCTGCATGGGGGGAAGCAGAAGGTTGAGGACCACAGGGTTCATCCGGAGGAGTGTCACGGACGGCAGCCTTGAGGCGGTCCACACTCACGACCTCTTCACGGTTGTCGCGCTGAATGCGGAAAGTCTTCGGCCCGCGAGAGAGCACCCGAAATGGGCCGTCATAGGGCGGTTCCAGAGGCCGGCGGACTCGATCACATCGAAGGTAGACGTGAGAGCACGTTGCCAAGTCCTTCTCGAGATAAGACGGAGAGGCGGAGGACCTGGGAGGGACCGGAGAAAGTGTCCGCATAAACTGCCGGAGGCGATGCAGGAGGTTGTTAGGATCCTCAACTGCATCTTGAGGGGTTGGCGAGATCATCTCACCGGGGAGTCCGACGGTGGAGCCGAACACCAGTTCAGCTGCGGAACAATCAAGGTCCGGCTTCAGAGCGGAGCGGATGTCCAAGAGGACCAGGGGAAGGTGGTCCGTCCAGTTCTCCGGATCAGCCGCAGCGCGTAGGGAGGCCTTCAGCTGGCGGTGAAACCGCTCGACCATCCCATTAGCAGCCGGGTGATAGGCTGTCGTCCGGATGCGGGTACAGCCTAAAAAGGAGAGTAAAGACTGGAAGAGGTTAGATTCAAATTGGGCACCACGGTCAGTCGTGATTGTGGAGGGTGCACCAAAGATAACAACCCAACGACTGAGAAAAGCCTTGACCACTGTTGGAGCAGCAATGTCAGGCAGGGGAATTGCTTCAGGCCACCGAGTGAACCGATCCACACAGGTGAGGAGATAGGAACAACCATAGGACAGAGGCAGGAGGCCTACAATGTCCAGGTGAACGTGACTGAACCTTGCACCAGGGCCAGGGAAGGTGCCAATGGGGGCCTTGTTGTGCCGCTGGGTCTTGCTCCGTTGACAGGCGATACAAGCCCGTGTCCATGCCTTGAGGTCCTTGTGCATACCAGGCCAGACGAAGCGGTTGGAAACCAGCTTGTCGGTTGCTCGACTCCCAGAGTGAGACAGATTGTGCAGGGAGGAGAAAACTTTGCGGCGGAGAGATGGTGGCACAAATGTACGATGGGAAGGGGTGGATACGTCGCATAAGATGGTGCCGTTGCCAGTTGTCAGTGGTAGTTCCTGAAGTTGGAGTCCGGAAACATCCTCATCACAGGGTGGACCGACACGGCGTTGTTCAGCGGCCATCTCAGCGAGGTCTTTCCCGGGTGAAAGCTGCAGAAGAGCAATGGAGGGCCTGGACAGTGCGTCAGCCACCTCGTTGCGTGACCCGTCGATGTGGCGGATATCGGAGGTAAACTGGGAGATATAGTCCAGTTGGCGGATTTCCCGGGTGTTTAGTTTGTCAGTGTGGGGATGAAGTGCAAAAGTCAACGGTTTGTGGTCAGTGAAAACAGTGAAGTCACGACCTTCAATGGAATGCCGGAAATGCTTCACAGCCAGGTAAATGGCAAGTAGTTCACGGCCATAGGTACTGTAGCGTGTCTCAGCTGGTAAGAGCTTTTTGGAGAAAAAGGCAAGTGGTTGAGTCGAACCAGCAAGGTGTTGTTGAAGGACTGCACCTACGGCTACGGTCAAAGCATCTACCATCAGAGACAGCTGAGCTTCGGGAGCGGGATGTGTGAGTAAGGTGGCATCAGCAAGGGAATTTTTGATTCTCTCAAAAGCAGTCAGTGCTTTACCAGTCAGCTCGAGGGGACCTTTGGGACCAGAAAGCATGTTGGTGAGCGGCAACATGAGATCAGCACAGTTCGGTAGGAACCGGCGATAAAAGTTCACCATACCAAGAAACCGTTGCAACTGACGCTTCGAGGTAGGGGGTGGAAAGTCCCGAATGGAGGCAACCTTTGAGGGAAGAGGCCGAATGCCGTGGGAGTCGACCAGATGACCGAGAAATTCTAGGGAGGGCACACCGAAGACGCACTTGGACGGGTTGAGAACAACGCCAAATTGTTGAAGGCGGTCAAACACCGTTGTAAGATGTTCCATGTGTTCTTCGATGGTGGAGCTGGATACCAGAAGGTCGTCGATATAGGCGTAGACAAATGGTAGGCCGCGAAGCACTCTGTCTACAAACCTTTGGAAGGTCTGGGAGGCGTTGCGAAGTCCAAATGGCATGCGCAGGAACTCAAAGGGGCCAAAGGGGGTGGTAACGGCCGTCTTCGAAACGTCCTCTGGGGCTATGGGAATTTGATGGAAAGCACGGACCAGATCGATCTTCGAGAATACAGACTTGCCGAATAGGGCACCGGAAAAATCCTGAAGTTGTGGAACAGGGTAGAGGTCCGGGACAGTAACGTTGTTCAGGGCCCTGTAATCACCGCAGGGGAGCCAGTCACCAATGGCGGCATTTGGAACCATGTGGAGGGATGAGGCCCATGGGCTTTCAGACTGACGGATGATGCCCATTTGAAGCATGTGCTCGAATTCGGCCTTGGCTGCAGCAAGACGTGTCGGCGCGAGGCGGCGGGGGCTAGAAAACACGGGAGGGCCGGTGGTCCGAATGTGGTGAACAACGTCATGTGGTCATATTACTGTTTATACCGAGGAGCATGCGCTGAGACCGTAACCACACTATCTCTTCCCATTCTCTGACACCAGTTCACTGTCCAAGTCGATCAGTTAACTGGTGCAGTGACATCCTCCAAGCTCAAATAGTGGTCAGTGTGCGTTACATTTACCGAGGGGTGGTATCCAGTGGCTTAGATTGTGGTTGCAGGGAGGCGGTGCGTTCAAGTGGCCTCATGGGCAGCTGCGACTGTGCGGACGCAGGTATGTCCGAGCTGTCGGTCGTGTGACTTCAGGTCAGCGCGTCTGGAACGACTCACTGCAACAGGGTGGATGACTTTGAGACAGTGAGGTCTTGAACAATGACGCCAGACCGGTCATGATGGCTACCCACTACAAAAACAATCGTGAAGGGGGGACGTAAAAACTCCACCTATGAGAGATCTACGTATTTGGTAAAGTCAAGTTCACGCGAAGTGTCAGATTGGAATCCGTGCGTGGGTACGCGATAGGCGGCAACTTAATGTGATGTCAGGTAATGCGTCCAATCTCTCTCAATTTGACTCGCATAGATCACTGGTGCATGGGAAATGTGGTCGTGGCAGCGGCTAGTTCCTTATCATATACAACAAACGAGCTTTTTAACTGTTACGACGCGAAAAAAAGGCCTGGCTCGGAAGACCGGTATATGAAGGAGCCACCGCGGCTGGAATCTCTGTCCCATTAGGAGAACCGAGTCATCTCGTCAGTTGGCAGCCTTCCAAACCATGGTGTTTGGCTCATCGTGATGAATTCCAATACGTCAGCTTGTCTATAGTGGGGAAAATGTTCGGGGAATCGATCTTTTCTCTCTCTCTCCCTCTGCCCTCTCCCATGCATTAGCCGATTGGGCGAGTTGGCCAACCAACTGATGCAAGGTTTGGGCGCAGTGGCTAAAAGAGCTAAAGAGCCCGTCTACACGTGCCATGCACACGACTTGGTCCGCACACACTAAACCAGGACTTCACACATGGGGGCTTGACTGCTCAGAGCTCGCATATCTTACAGTAACAGAATGGCTACATGAAGGAGCCAAAGAGCGCGATTCACGCTTGCGTGAGAGGTACCGATTCCAGGCTTGCGGTAGGCGGTGAGGGGCAGATTCATGCATGGTGTATTTGCTAGTGACGAGATGTGTGGTGAGGGGGTTTGACCGACGGTGTTTCATCGCAAGTTTACATGGGTGAGCATGTAACCCACTAGGTCCATGCGCATAAGCAGCTGAGGCGGGTGTGGAGGGTGTATGTTGATGCTCCGGTCATTGCTTCGTCAGTCTTCGTGCGATGGATTAGCGAGTCACCGATCAGGCCGATGCATGATGTGCACTTACGGTGACAGTCTAGAAAGAATAAGTTGGGAGCTGCTAAATCGGTTACGGTGGCGAGGCTGTTAGTGGTGGCCGCCCAGGTGCAGGAATAGTTGGTAGTGCCGAAGACTAGAGAGCTGTCAGGTGTGCGAGGTATGCTTGGCGCGTCGATATTGTGATGACGCTCCCGTGGGCACGCATGTGGCCGAATAGACGCACGCGGTGAGTGAATGTGTGTAGGCAGTATGAACGGTAGAGATGGACGCGGTGAGTTTTTGTCAGGGCTCCCTGCACTGGTTCGTCTGTCACAGAGGGGTGGATGCGCAGGTGGCCGACCAAGCTGATGCGCGGGGTGGAGGTGCGATCACTGTAGTCGATTCCAGATTGCTGGTAGTGGAGGTGGTGGTTGACGGTACGTTGGGAGTGCCTTTGCCGGTGATTGATGAAATGGTAGTCGTCATCGCGAATGTTCTGACGGGGATGATAGAGATGGTGGGGATCGACGGCGTCGGCCAAAACGGCAAGGCATCAAGAGTGTGACCACTGGTGGTGGTGGTGGTGGTGGCCGCCGTAATGGTCGCCATGGTTATTGGTGCATGGGCGTTTGTGGAGGCAGCCGTTGAGTTGTCGGGTTATTGGAGCATTGGGTCCGTGGATGTCTGACGAGGCCGATCAGCGCACAGAATGTTTTTTGGCACCATGGGCGTGCTGGAATGGGTTGGATGTTGGCGTTGTGGATCGGAAGCGCTTGTAACTTGCGAGCACTGCAAGCGCACACACACACGTCCCGGGCTTTATATGAACCTACTTCTCAACAGGTGCATCTACACCATCCCTTTGTAACATACCATGTTCCACTTCTGCGCCAAGCATGACATTCACTTTGTCAGCGATGGTATGGCGGCTAAATGCCTCATGTAAGAGCGCGCACATTCCACTTGAGTGTGAAGCATGTTGTCTGTCCGCCGTGTGTAGCACGCGTAAATGGCTTGTCTAGCCTCGTCAACCACTGCGCCTGCGCACACCTCCGGTCGTTTTGGCCTTGTTATGTCGCAGGATTAGGATGGGTGAGAGAAAAGGGGGTAGTTGGTTCTGACCAAGTCTGCCCGCCATTACCTAATTCACACGGAAGCCACCGATTCACTCACTCCGCGGAACGGCGGTGGGGGCCGTCGCCTGCGACAACAGAATTATTTTGTTTTTTTTATTAAAATAAGGGTCGGATCGCATTTCGCAGCCTTACCTGCAGTAGACAAGCCCCAGTCTGACCCCTAACCCTAATCCTAACCCCAACCCATAACCCTTAACCCATAACCCTATCTCCTAACAGGAACGGATACGAAATGAGATGTTGTCGAATTGAAGGTATGCCATTATGTTTAATGAGACGTGTGCAAATTAGTTTGGAACGAAACACCATTTAATGTTTAAATTTCCGACACTGTCTACCCATCACGTTGTAAAACGTATTGACAAGGTACAAAACAGCTAACCTCTCAGCCTCACCTTGTAGAATTTCGTGCCCGTGGTATACAATTTTATTCGGTCACCCAGTCGGCATTGGCTGCGTCTGTTTCCACTCCACCTTGAAAATTTCGCACGTGGAATCTAAACCGGTACAAGATATTCTCTTATTTCGACAGCGTTTTGTCGATCAGGTTGTCCAATCTTACTGAAATACAAAGTGTTAGTTAAATGGCCTGCGTGAGCAGGTCGAACTGTCCAGCACGTGACTAATACTTTAATCCGTATTTCACTTGATGTTAATGAAGTTACATGTCAGGCGTAGCGACCGAAGGCGTTGAAGGCAACACACACGCGGTAACGGGAAGCACGGAAGATAATTCCTGACTAACGCCTAACTAAAAGATGTTGTTAAACGCATCATCGTTCTCAGCTAAGCAAGGCCTAGGAAAAATCAAACGATACGAGATGTGTATGTTAGAAAAGGAAAGTCTAGTACATAAGTAGATTATAAAGGATACCAGTGCAGATGAGGGTTTCAACAGGAGGGATGACCCGTCTGGAAAGCGAGGTGACGCCAACACGTCAGCTAGAAAACCGATGTGGACTGCAGCGCGGTCGGTGATTGCATGGTAGGACCGTGGGGAGTGTTCGCGTGGAGCAGGACAAACGTTACGGTAACAGAGGCAGTCGCGGGAAGGGTCCGGCGGGAAGGTGGGACGGGACACCGGTTATTTTCACCGACACGCGGCTACACCATCTCCATCCTGGATCCACGCCAAGAGTGACCTTAGTTCGTTCAAACAACTCTGGCGCGTTTGTAGTGCATTACACAGGGGCGCTTATTTATTTAAAACCCCTTATTGTTAGGGTATCGCCATGCCCTGACGTAGTATTTTTTGCACAAGTGTGCATAAAAATTCGGGGGCAAATGACACTTAACTGCTTGTCTACTAATTAGTGATCCGTTACCTTTTACCCGCGCAAGTTGGAGGATATAGCAGAAAAAAATAGTCCCTAAAATTTGCGTAAAATCTGCTTCCAAAGAAGTGACTTATGAAGTGAAGTAAGCATGACCACGATATGAGTCCCCTAGCATTGTCAGTTGAATCTAGGCAAAGGTAACCGCGTGAAAGGTTGATTTTTTAAGGGTAACTAACAGAGTCTTCGTTTGAATTCTGAACCGTTTAAGAAGCCATAATTGGGGCAGGACTGTTCTTGTGTCAACTTGAAGGACATTTCAGAGTGCATGATGTCTCTGGAGCGCACACAGCCGTCATCTATCTTCACTCAAAAGCGAATGAACAAAGATACAGCATCCGCGTTTTGCAAAAACCGATAATTTGTTTACACTGTACGTTTCGATTTTTAAAATTAAGCGTTCGTTTGAGGCTTTTATTATAGCTGAATCTCCAAAATATATCGGTTTTGATGATTACAATAAATAAGGCCTCGCAATCATTAACACATCATTTACTTGCCAAATAGTCCCTGAGAAGATGTATACTGCCTCAATCGCGGAAATAAAGCATTCATTTTTTTCTTGATTTGAGTTCAGCCCTTGTGAGTGATGTAACTAATGGAATGCGGGCGAATTATCCACTCAGTCGAGGGACCGCAAAAGGGCATCCACTGAGACCTCCAGCTCACATACCGCCTATGCAACTGGTGATATAAACGGCGTCTGAAAGGCGGTGAACGTAAAGTCTCAGCTCCGTCCTTCCGTTTTTCTACTGATATAGTCTGGCGACAAACTGCCGGAAACTTGCCCAATCAACCCAAAGTATTTGCGGGCAATTCCTACAGTACTTTTCGAAGACTGTCAGTCACGAGAATCATATTTAAATCACTTGGTGTCGGTATGTACAATCCGGCATGGTGGAAGCTAGATGCACAAACCAACAGTTAGGACGCTTTAACTAAACGGAAAACACCATAACGCTCAAAGTGTAAACAAGCAGAATGGGAAGGGGCCGTCGTTGTCAGCCATAATCTAATCCAAGATTTCGATAAGTTGGAATTGGATCTTAGATTTATCGGTCACCGAGAGTTACATCAAATGTTATATCACTGGTCCACCGCTCTGTCCGGGCGATTTCAG